ATATTTTTACGTGGGTGACACTACTTGCCATGGTAACAGAAAAACATGAAAATTTAACAAAACACAAGACAATATTATGGAATATAATAAGGTTCTTCGTTAAGGTTAGGCACATTTGAAGGTGTGTTATATTCCATATGTGCCTAACCTTATTAAAGAAGTGTGTTATATTCCATAATATTGTCTTGTGTTTTGTTATATGTGCTCCTCGCTTCTATATGTCGTTCAAATCTTACATCATTAGTATCAATTGTGTAGCTTACAAGCCAAGATGTCTGATTATCAAATAAAATACTGATAGGGGCATGATTCTAAATTATGATAAGCTTTTAGATGTCTCAACCATTAACCCCATCTGGAACACCTCATGCCACTCTGCCACTTGTTCTGCAACTTCAATTTCCTTTCTAAGTGTCCCTTATATTGTTTATTCAGTATATCCATTAAGATTTTTCTTAACTCTCTCATAGAAAATGTCTGTTTTAAATCTGTTTGATTTAAGTCGTAATTTTCAACGTCCCAAAGAATCATGGTTAATGGATAAATATATTCAACAGCAACAGCCTCTAGAGTATCCTGGTTTAATAGCCTCATCAGACAGGACAGCATCAGGCTTTAAAAGTTCCAGTGGTCCTCAATTACCTCTAGATTCTAAATGTAGTAACTCTCTTACTGATAGACAGCAACAACCAGACACTAGTAGACATGATCAACAAGTTCAAGCTTGAATTGATGTTTACAAGTAGATACAATCAGTAAGTGCAATCTGGAATAAGCTTTCTGATAGACTGCAACAACCAGAAACCAGAAGACATGATCAACAGGTCTAAGCTAATGATTTAACTTCATTATAGACATCAGTAACCAACCACAAGTAGATACGATCAGCAGGTTTAAGCTTGAATAGATATAAAAGGAGTCGTATCAACTAGAATGCTGTGTTCAACACATGGAAACTAACGAATCAAATGAACATTGAACAAAAAATCACATAGGCTATTCATTCATATGAAGTGTCCATGAAATTTGTGTTACGAACCTCGTGTGAAAAAGGTCTATTATCACCTTAAGTCAGAAAATATGCTGTCAGATTTAAAAGGGTAAGAACAATCTGTCTCATAAACGCTTTATTAGCTCTGTTGTCTAAATAAATTTTATAAGGTAATTTGAATGCATCAGGATTTCAAGTCTCGATTTTGTTTTTTTGCAATGAATTAAATACATAATGTGTTTTGATTTTATGGGATTTTTTAGTTGTAACTTTTAATAGGACTTTTTGTTGGAAGCCAGGAAAAGAATTTGTAATTTCTCCACCCATCCTTTGTAATTTATTCTTGTAGAGTTTGTGTGAAATTTAGCTGATTATGCCAAAATTTGTAATCGGTATTGATTATTTTGATACATGAAAATTATATTTTTAGAATTTTCAGTATTGAAACTCTGTATATCGTGATACTGCTGTATATTGTGATATATATCATGATACTGCTGTACAGTGTGATATCTTTTGTGATACTGCTGTAGGCTATATCATGATATATATATATCGTGATACTGCTGCACATCGTGATATTAATTGTGATACTGCTGTACACGAGATATCTATTGTGATACTGCTGTACATTGTGATATATATTGTGATATGCATCACAATACTGCTGTATATTGTGATATGTATATTGTGATACTGCTGTATATCATGTTTATTGTGATACTGTATATCGCGATACTGCTGTAGAAGGTGATATATATCATGATACTGCTGTAGAAGGTGATATATATCACGATACTGCTGTAGAAGGTGATATATATCATGATACTGCTGTAGAAGGTGATATATATCACGATACTGCTGTAGAAGGTGATATATATCATGATACTGCTGTAGAAGGTGATATATATCATGATACTGTTGTAGAAGGTGATATAAATCACGATACTGCTGTAGAAGGTGATATATATCACGATACTGCTGTAGAAGGTGATATATATATATATCATGATACTGCTGTAGAAGGTGATATATATCACGATACTGCTGTAGAAGGTGATATATATCACGATACTGCTGTAGAAGGTGATATATATATATATCATGATACTGCTGTAGAAGGTGATATATATATATATCACAATACTGCTGTAGAAGGTGATATATATCACGATACTGCTGTAGAAGGTGATATATATATATATCATGATACTGCTGTAGAAGGTGATATATATATATATCACGATACTGCTGTAGAAGGTGATATATATATATATATCATGATACTGCTGTAGAAGGTGATATATATACGATACTGCTGTAGAAGGTGATATATATATATATCACAATACTGCTGTAGAAGGTGATATATATCACGATACTACTGTATATCCTAATATTTATTGTGATACTGCTGTATTTTATATTATTATAGACTGTGATATTAATATTACTTTTACTCCATCTAATAAATTATTTATTTGGATGCTCTTTTAATATCTTGGTTTACCATTTAGGCCATGGTGAAACTGTCCTCAACTTTTCCAAAAATATCAACCCCAAGAGCTGACCCCGACATCAAGTCATGCTTGTACCCTCAGATCCATTAGATCTGTGGTATGTTGCTGCTTGCTGGAACATAAGGAAACCCAAGACAGTGCAATTTGTTTTATTCCATTTTTTTTCTATATAAACTAACTAAAGATCTGAAAGTATGAATTGCTGGTTTTGATAGTAAAATGATGTTTTAAAATGAAAAAATAATAAATACATGCATTCCATATACAATATGACACGAAGTAAATTAAAATGATGTATGAATTACCACAAACAAATATATAACATGAGTTATGATTGGTCAAATTCACTACATACATGACAATTCAAAATGTAATACGGGTTATGATTGGTCTATTTCACCACATACATGACAATTTCAAATGTAACATGGCTTATGATTGGTCAAGTTCACCACATACATAACAGTTGAATATGTAACATGTTATGATTGGTCTATTTCACTACATACATGACAATTGAATTGTAACATGGGTTATGATTGGTCAAATTCACCACATACATGACAGTTGAATATGAAACGTGTTATGATTGGTCTAGTTCATCACATACATGACAGTTGAATATGTACCATGGG